AAGTAATAAAATTAGTTATTATACGCTTATGAGCTCGTTCTTGTGGAAGAGTTGTCATATTAAATATTCCACTTTACGTTGCACGCATTTATTGCCACTGCAATGAGTACGAGTATAATCGCTTTATAAGTGTATTTCAAGCTTCGCCCTTTAGCTTTTCTTTTTTTTTCTTTTTTGCTTTTGCCTTTGCCTTTGCACGCATTTTACTAGCATTCGGTTTTCGCCCAGCCACCCCCCAGCAACAACAAAAACAACAACAACCAGTAGTACCAAAACAACAGTTACAACAGTTGACGACGATGGGCTGTCTCTGTCGCTCTGCATATGGCCCTCTCTTTCACACGCTCACAAATGCGCAACATATTTGCCGACTGACCGACGCAGCGACAAACAGACACTTGTGCCGCCCCCCGCCCTCCCACTTTGCCGAACGCCCTACCACCCCCCTCCCAACCCCTTTTACGCCTTCTCCTACCAACTTTTCCACCTCCCACTCCCCCTTTTTCCATCCACCCCAACCCCACTTTTTTTTTGCTATCGTCTGCTGCTTTGCTATTTCTCTTTTTTTCCACTACTATTTTCACGCTGCTGCTGCTGCAGTCGTTGATGTTGCTGTTGCTGCTGCTGCGATGTTGCTGCTGCGCTGGCTACATAATTGATTTTAGTGCTGCACTCTCCAAATGCGTTGCATTCTGCCGCTGCTGCTGCTTCTGCTGACGTCGCTGCCGCCGCTGGCAGTTACTTTTAGTGTAATCTCAACATTTGCTGCTGATGTTGCTACTGCTCATGTAGTTGCTGTTGCTGCAATTGTCGTAGTTGTTGCTGTTGCTGCTGGCTTTGGTGTTGCTGTTGCTAATGTTGTTGCTGCTTTGAGTGTTGCTGTTGTTAGTGTTGTTGGTGTTGCTGTTTCTTGTGTTGTTGCTGTTGCTGCTGTCTTTGGTGTTGCTATTGCTAATGTTGTTGCTATTGCTGCTGCTGCTGCTGCTGTGAGTTCTTCTTCCAGCAGCAACATCAACTTCCTAACTCCCCCCGGGACAATCCCCCTCCCCCCTTCGCAGACCAACAACTGGTGGCAGCGCTTTCGTCGCTTGCTTTTGTTGTTGCTGCTGGTTTGGGTTTTTGGTTTTTGTGAAAACCAGATTTTTGTCGTTTTATGCATTAAATTGTTTTTACAGCCGCTTTTGGCAGCCAGAACAGGGTGATTCGTAGCGATATATACTGACAAGATGGTAATTGGTGGAATTAATTTAATTAACTTAAATATTTAAAACCTAATATATTTTAAATATTTGTGTCTTGAATTAATATAACTAAATTTAACGATATTTAATTAACGAAAGAAGCTAGAAATCGTATTTTTAAACTTAGAAATAGTTACTATTTTTTAAATTCAATTATTTATTATATCTTACAATCAAAATATATGTTAAATTCACTTTTTATTTAAGATGACAAAAATTATTTTAGCACTAGACCCACCTGTTTAATAAGGTTTTTTTTTATTTCAAGAGTGCGGAATCGTTTTTTACTATTTAATTTTCAAATTTTATGGAACAAGAACTACTATTTTTTCAAATTCATTTACTTTACCTTAATTGACAGTATATTCCTTTTAAGTTGATTTGTTCCTAAAGGCTCGTCATTAGCTAATATTCCTGCCCACCCCCACACATCCTGGGACACCCTGTATGCGCGGTGCTTCGGTCCCCGTCGCCGTCACAGCAAAAGTAACAGGAATAGGAACAGGCACAGGAACCAACACACAACACACGCACACACACAAAGGCGGTGGGTGGGGGCAGGAATTGTAAGGGGGAGGGACGTCGAAACAAGCCAACAACCAACGCATTTACACAGATACAGATGCGGATATAGATACAGATACTCGCAGGATGAGGGAAATGCAGGGAAAGGAGGGCAGGACGAGAAAAAAGGCAGGGGCGGAGGAAAAGGCAGAGGACCGGCAACCGGGTACCGAGCGACAAACAGACCCATTGTCCCTCCCTCGCCAACGAGCACACTGCGAACAACGGCAGCAACATCAGCACATCAGCAACATCAGCAGCAACAGCAGCAAGCGATGACGACGACGACGGCCTACAACGCTGTACACTTCCTTTTACACACAGTGCCAACGGACACTCATGAACACAGTAAACCCCCGAAAGTTGGTTATTGTTATAAATTCTTATCCTCCAAGTCTATTAATGATCCTTTTAAGCTTTAAGCATATAAACATATTTTTTTAACTCTTACTTAGTCGTCTTATCAATACTTAAAATTGTACATAAGGTTCATAAATCAATACCAAATTTGTTTTTATTGGTACATATGGTACGTACATGTGTTTAGACTTTCAGTATTTTAAAAAATATCAGAATTAAAAAAGCCGCGACAATCGCACTATCAACAATTAAAATTTCCAATACCATTATCTTGTGACAAAAAATGATTATACAGAAGACTAATGTAGACATTAAATACTTTCATATTTTGCTAAAGCGATCCTCATTGGGAGGTATTTTTGTTTGCTTTAAATTTATTAATAAAACAATAATTTTACAAATTAATTTCCAAAAAATAAATGATAATCGCTAAATAAATAACCAAGAACTCTTATCAAGTTAAATGCGATAAAGTTCCTAAAATCCTTTAGCCTGAGGCCTGCTAATTTGCGAGTGGCCACTGTACAATCACACATGGATTTAAGCCACTCTTGTGTGAGTGCGGGGCCTGAACCCAAACCTAAACCCAAACCCAAACGCAAACTCAAACCCAAATACAAACCCATAAGCATAACCCAATGAAGCAGCCTCTGCCAACATACCAACATCATCATCATCGTCAGCGCACAACTGTCGGCGATTGTTGTTGCTTAGCACTCGAGCCAGAAAAAAGGACTTCCTTTCGCCCAGGACCTCACCATCCCTCTCGCTCACTCCTCAACCGTTTCACGGGAATTATGACAAGGACTGCCAAAAATCGAGGCAGAACATGTTAAATAAAATAAAACATAATTTTATGCCAGAGAGCAACAAACACATTAACACGGTCGTCGCAGCGCAGTCGTCGTCGCTGTCGCCGTCGACGTCGGCGTCATCAATAAATCGCGACCCCAACGAACCACCCACAAAACACCCAGCCACCCACTGGAACCACCTCCATCACTCCCCACCACCCAAAATTCATGCCCACCTCAAATATTATACAAAAGCTTACAAGCCACGCATACAAACGAAACTCCGTTCGCTCTCTCTCTTTCCCCTCGGCTCGTGCCGTCTCTTTCTCACCGCCTATTGCGCTCTCTTTCTGCCTCTTTCGTGCTGTGCTCGTTTGTGTTTTGAAAATTTAATCTCGATATGGCAACAAATATGCTACAATTTCATTGAGATGAACACCCGATACCGACGAGAGTTTCTCACGCTGTGCCAAAGCAGCGACGTCGACGGCGAAAGAGATGGGTATATGCGAGAAGAAAGAGATGGCATGAGAATGAGAGAGAGCCCAGAAGCGTAGTAAATACTACTACATTTTTCTGTGCTAATTGAGTGATAAATTGGGAGTGGATTTTGGCCAACAGAGAGCAAGAGAGCGGGTGTGTGTGTGTTCGAGTGTGTGGGCAATTGATATGCTCAGATTAAATTGTTAAATGTTTTTTATTCGGGTAATTAAAGTATTTCAATTTTGCGGCCTATGTGGTAAAGAGTTGACAATTAATCAGGCTGGGTTGTATTTAAATACGAAAAAGACATTGCATATATTACAAATAAAATAAACAAATATTACATTATATTAACAAATAAACAATTCTTTTTTTTTGCATCTTATTTAAAATAAAATATGTCTTTGGCCCTGCTGACATTTAAAAAACAATTAATCCCGCTGGCGCTGCACACGCCGTAAATCATTCAAAAATCAACCACAAATCACAACAATTAAGACAAATGTGCTGAAAAATCTACTTAACGCAAACACTCACAAACACACGCATGCCAGCCATTAAACGCTTTCAAAACAAACCCAATAAATGTCAGCTGCCCGAAAAAGGTAGCAGAAAAGTATGCTTTTGCGGAGAGCATGCTACGAAAGCAGAGAGCGAGTCGAAAAGGTAGCATAGAAGGCAGTAGAAAAGGCAGCAAAAATGGCAGTAGAAATACTACTATATTTTTTTCTGATCCAAAGTAAGGGGCCCGCGAGGCGAAGAAGTCAAACAAATTGACATACGTATACATAATTATTATTTTACTTAAGTGCTCGCGCGTCGTCGCCCCTAAACAGACCAAAATGAATACGAAATACGAAATACCAACCTGAAATAAATCAACCCGCGAGAGCGTACTGTACCGCTTCGGCTCGGGTTCGGGAACGTTCGGCTCGTCGTGCGACTGCATCTGTGTGGGTGAGCGGGCCGAAGTCGCCGCCGACGGCAGCTGCTGCATGGCGTACCGCTCAGTCGGTCGCCGGACGTCAGCTCAGCTGCCAACTTCATTCAGTTCCTTTCTGGCTGCCGTCGAACGTTGTCGTCGTTCGGTTGAATCGAATCGCCAAGCGCAGCTCGCCAAAAAGCCAGGCCAAAATCTCAAAGCCAGGGCTCAGTGAAACAGTTATCAGAAATTTCGAAAAAAAACGCGTGAAATATATTTTCGAAAAAACAAAAAGAAATTTTTCAATTTCCAACCAAGTGGCATGGAATAGTAAACAAAACAAACCACACAGCACATTTATTGGATTAAGTGCCGCAAAAGTTCCTGTTAGCAGCAGCAACACATCAAACGACTTGGATTACTACAAACAACAGTATTATCACTTAAAGCTAGCACAAAATCGAAAAAAAAATTTCGTTAACAAAAATAATTAATTTTTAAACTACAACAATTTGCTAGGCAACCAAAAAAAGAAACAACAAACTTGTGCAACATCCCAAAACAAATGTGAAAGCGTGACAAACAAAAAATACGAAAAACAAATGAGCAAAAAGTGAACTTAAAGTGAACAAAAAAGTGAAAAGTAAAGAGTGAAGTTTTTTGAAAATGCTGCAGTGAACATTTTTTAAAAACAAATCCACAAAAAACACCAATTAACAAATTATAAATCTACAACAACAGAAGCAACAACACAGAGAGACAAGTGTTGTTGTCCCATGTATTTGTTGATGCCATGCAATTGATTGTTGACAAAATTCCCATGTATTCCAAACAAACAACGAAGCGCAATTCCAAAAAGTAAGTTTCAAGAACCTCTCAAAAAACAAAAAAAAAAACTGCACAACAAACAAACAGTGAAAAGTGTCCAAACCAAAGCAAACAAACAAAGTAGAAGGAAAAACCCTTCCAGTGAACTGATAAATTGATAACAGCGGCAAAAGAGACAGCAACAAGCCGGACGAAAAGAGATAGCGTTCCACAGCTGCTGCTGTCGCTTCTTCTTCTGCCGCAACGTGGTGCACCTGTCCCACAAAAAAAAAACTACAACAAAAACAGCAACAACTTTAACAAAAACAACGAACTACAACAATTAACACACCACGCGCTGTTGCCATAAAACCCAAAAGAAAAAGAAAACTTAGGTAAAATATCTAAAAATAAATTCCACTTAAACCAAACAGAAAACAAAAAAAAATCATAGCAAACGAGCCAAAAGAATTTTTAACTTCAACTTTTCGTCTGTGTGCCTCTCATTTTGACAGTCAATAAAATTTGACTGGCTAAAAATATTCATCCACCTGGCTAAAAATAAAACAATTTATAAACACATAGTACAAAAATTCTTTATGGCCATCAACAATTTTATTTCTTCTCCACTAGAAACTTTTAATTGTTGTGCTTGTATCAAAATTACAAACAATCAAAATAATTAAATGGAATGTGCTTTTGTTTTTAGATATTTTATGTAAATTTTTTTGTGTCTTTTCCTTATGCTTTGTTTGTTGTTTGAACCATATATATATAAATCATAAAATTAGTTATGTAGATAAATTAGCTATTAAGAGTTGAGCGAAAAAAAGTTTCAAATATATTCTGGGTACATGGTGTCAATTTTATTTAATATATTAAAAACTGATAAGGTTATTAAAAAAATTTTGAGTTTCATTTTATTATTCATCAACAAGTTGGCTAGAAAAATAATGTTTGCGTTAAATTTAAAAAAATCCATCCCTGTTTAAATAAAAATTGGAAATACAAAAATATTTATTTCGAAATTACTTGTTTTCTTATTAAATCCGTTACTTATTTTAAAACTTTATTATAGAAGTTAATAGTTTGGTATACAATTTTCCAAGTAAAATTTGTGAAAATAGTCTACGTTTTCTTAAAAATTTATTTGTTGCGTTTTCAGTTAAAAAAATAAAAACATAGTAAATAATATTGTGATAAAATATTTTTTTCATAACAATAAAATTTATCTAAAGAATATGTTTTTTAAATGGCAAAAATATATATATTGTATTGTATATTATAATCTGTAAATTGCAAACCATTTTCTAAGCGAAACTTATTTTTTAACAATATTTGTATAAATATTTTATTTTACTAAATAGCGGGAAATTATTTCTTCCTAAGAAAATATTTACACACAACACTTTTGAACACTTATCTACTCACAACATGTACTCGAATTAAATTCTCCAGCCAAACAAAACAAAAAAATTCCCTGCTGGAAAACCCATCCAGACACTTTAAAGAGCCAGCCAATAGATTAATTTTGACCGAATTCCCACATCAGCTGTTAGTTAGCCCGCCTCCCATCGCCGCCCCCTCGACTGATGCTCTCTCTCGCTCTCACGCACAGCTGACCCATAAATGACACGCACACCGACAGACATAGACACTCGCACACAGATACTGTCGGAAAGTATCTGAAGAGAAGCCAAGAAAGCATTCAGCATTTCAGTCCAAAAACATTTCGACCTACTGCTGTTGCTTTGTTTTGTACGTAGTAGTAGAGTAGGTATTCGTGGCCGGAGTTTTCCATTGAATCGTTCTCGAGAAGTGGATGGGATGTGATGTGGAAGTGGAAGTGGGAATATCGATACCGAGAAAGAAATTTTCCCAACGATCCGCTTCGTTTGCCCGAACAACCGAAAACAACCGCTCAAGTCTGTCACTTATTTCTCAGTTCGACAATGTTTTCGCCCATTTCTCGTGTGTATTCGTGTTTGTTGCCTCTTCTGTTTCTGTTTCTTTTGTGGCCCAAGATGAAGAAGGGGGAACGGGAACCCAAAAAAAAAAAAAAGGTCACTCCAAGCGAGGCGACCTCTCCCCACTCCAGTTTTCCCTAGCATTTTCCCTCCCGTATCTCGTTTGCCGTTTTTCTCACATGCCACGCATTTTCCCCCAGCCAAACACCCCCTCTTTTTTCCCAGACAATGGAAAACTCTCGGCAGACATTTTTTCGGTTCGCTTGTAATTCATCATCGCTGCAAAGAAGATGAAAGCAAAGAAAAAGGTACGGGGCTTAAGCGTTCAAAGCGCAAGAAAAAGAAAAATGCCGACCACAGGTAAACCTTAACCCATTTGCAATAGTCGCAGCTCTTAACCCAAAAAACAGGTAGTTGCACTCGCTTCGGGTCGCCAGGGATTTCCCAAGAACAGGGAACATTTTTGCCTGGAAGCATCTAGAATCCATTCTTCTAGATTGGTGGAAATTCATCTCGAATATGCGAACGTGATGGGAATTCACCTTCTCAGAAGATAAGAGGGCAACCATTCAGCAAAATTTGTAAAACATTTTTCCACTTCCGTTGAAGGGAAATTTGTGAGGGATCTTAGAATATACATATTTATTGCTTGTTTTTATTGTTATTTATGTCATCATCTTTAAAAAATGTTATTCTTCAAAATATTTTGTATCTTTAATTCTGAATTTCAACAAAAATAACTACTTAAATAAATTTTTATTAAAAAAAATTATTAAATAATTTTTACATGAATATGGCATAATAAGATTTTAATAGAATACATTTTTATAAACAATAAAAAATATTTATTTAGTCAGCAAATCGTGGAGGATCGAATTGTTTTTAAATTCTTAATGGCTGATAAGTCTTTACAAAAGTTTCCAGAACGGGCTTCCATTTCAGATAAAAGTTTTGGGTAAATTTCGCAGCACTGCGACTGTTTAAAATTCCGGTTTAGCAGATAAACTCAACGGTTAATTAACGCCCTGGACTTAGCGTAAACACCCTCTAATGTCATCAACCCACCACCGCCCCACACCTCGAAATGCAGAATCCTAAAACAGAAAACTGCGTAAGCGCGAGACAATCATCAATCAACCACCGAGGCAACCAAATCACAACCCATCAAGCAACCACCGAAAGGACTTGAGAAAGATTGCTACCTAAGGGATTCCCCTTCTCTCCCCTCGCCCCATCTTCCGCTCCTGGCCACTTCCTGTTTCCCTGTTTCAACTGTTTGCAATTTTCACACGGGAAATAAAAATGTGATACAAACGAGTAAATGACAGAAAAACAAAGCCTAAACGCGGAAAACCATTTGCAAATCGCAGAAGGCAACAACAACCCTCGGTGAGAGAGGGAATAGCATTCGGCATTCTCGGTGATTAAACCCCGAAAGAAACAAACAGAAACATACACGGTACATTTAGCGAGCGGAGGAGCGTCCGATATTAATAAACCCATCAGACAGGGGGCTGGAAACTGAGCAACCCCCGTAACGAAATCCACACTCGAGGGCGCAACAATAGTTACATGTGTAAACCGAAGCCACCCCTAAATCGGTCCGACTTTAACCCCTCATCAAACCAGATCGAAGGTCACACACGGAACACACGAGAGCAAGAAAGAGAGCCACAGCTCCGGTGCATATCTAATCACACAATTTGAATTTGATTGGGCATTAATGGGTTAAGCAGTTGACTCTTGACTCGCCTCGGGCTCTTCGAGGCACCTTGAAGAGTCGCACACTCCACTTCATTCAGAGTTCGTTTAGTCACATGATAAAAGTTCCCCAAAACGCAACGAATACCGAACGAAAACATTTAACGACCCAATTAAAAGCCCCTGAACGAACCTGATATCAAACTAGAGCGTACCGAAACCAACACATTCGCATAGATATAGTAAAATATATGCTTAACCTCACAGATAACTGCCACCAACGACCAACCACCGAAAACAGAAATACTATCACAATCGATGGGCATAGAGCGTACTGAAACCCAAATCAAAGGTAACCAATTCTTATCAGCCTTTGGTGGGGGGACTGACAAGCTAATTATACCCACAGATCGTACTATATCTATATAGAAAAACAGAAACAGAACGAAAACTACTCTTTATTTGTTGCTTGCAAAAAATAAACAACTGGAACAATGGAAAGTTACACTCTCTGAATGGTTCTACCTGCCTATTTTTGCTCTTGTTTTGGCCGACATTAAATCGCGCTTAGGTATGCAGAAATATTTCAGTTATCGATAATTGCTTATCGCTGTTTACGACCAGGTAGTACCTTCACATAGTACGCCAGTCTCTCGCCATTTAGCGGTCTTCGCAAAATGGTCGATGGGTTTTTGTGAATGGATCGCAATCAAGGTATGTGGTGGGCAAAGAGTGGTTGGGGAAGAATTGATTAAACTCAGGAAATTATTGAGTGCAAATGAGTAAACCATATTTAAACCATATGTTTACAAAAGCAACTGATTAGTGCACAATCTTAGCTTTCTAAATCAACAATTGTTATTTACTTAAGCTCTTACAAAATTGCAAATGCAAAATTGTTGATAACCAAATCAAAGTAAATGCCAATCTAATCACTACTACAACTTTCTGTCTTTCTATAAATATATATTTATTATTTTAAGGTGCGCAAACGGATGTTATCTTTGAACACATTTGTAGACCCCTAAACATACCTTTTGAAAACAATATCGCACTGATTCAGAACAGGTGGCGCCACCTGCTGGTCTCGTGGGCACAGTGCCTTTCTCCGCGCTTCTCAACATATCAGCTAGTTGGGGTTTGCTTATCAATCGCTCCGCTTCCTGTCCCATATTTACCATATCTTTTTGTCTAACCTTTACCGATGGCAAGTATTTTTAGCTAACATTTTCTTGTACACATTTTGTTGAGTTTATTTTGGTTGTTGTTTTTGCGGCTGTCATTTAGCTGTACTTCAGTAGACATTTTTGTTCGAAACTGGTTTTCAAGTACGACGCTTGCGTCGCTGTCGACGTCTCGGTTGGCGATTTATGCGTTGGGTTTTGAGTCGCTTCAAGATTTGCTTGCTGTTGCAATTTTCGTTTTGTTTTATTTTTAATGTGATTTATGCATGTTCCTCAATGTGTGAGTGTGTGCAAAAATACTTGAACAAAATTATTGCAGCTTCTTTTTTTTGTCGTTCATTTATTTTTGTGGATTTTTTTGTTGTTGCGAGCGTTGACAGTCGCAGCCTTCGATTTATTTTTAATGTTTATGTCTGTCCGATTGTTTATGATTTTCGTTGGGTTTTTTTCTTACTTAATTGGCGATTAGATAAATGCCAAAAACGCAACGAAGCCGATGACAATGGAATAGATCGCACTGAGTACTAAATCCCCGCCATCCTT